ACTCAATTGACTTGAATCAAGTGATTCAACTCTTCAAGATTCGATTCCTTGAAATGAGCTAATAAATCCCTTATCGATCTTTTAATGTAAGTTCAACCCCTACAGCTATGATGACAATACATAATATTACTAGATATTTTTAAGATTCTAGTAATGTATTTAGCCTAAAGTGCAATTTTTAATACTTAACTAGTTTAATTAGGTTAAGATTAAAGGCCCGTGCACACTAAGACATTTTTTGCTCACATTTTCCGTCGACGTTTAACACCTTGTGACTTAATAATGGGCGTCAATGTGATCATGCAGACCAACGCGCAAAACCCCAGGTGCAAAAGCATCATTTAAAAAAAAGCCTCATGCTCGTTTTTTTTTTTTTTTTTGTTTGTTTCTTCTCCACCAATCAGATTGGCACTTTTGTTCACGTGCACAAAGCTGCTGAAATTACAGTAAACAGCCCTTGGAGGCGCTCAAGCGCAAAACTGTCAATGCGAGCGCACATTGAAGAAGATGCCCAGAGGTGATATGAACGTGGAGCAGCTTTTTGCTCTTGTGAACACTAATCATTTCTTCATCGCTAGAGCTAAAGCTGCTGCTTGAACCATCCATGCTCGTTCGAGTCACCAGTAACTTAACAACAAACATGTGAACTCCCTCTCTTCCTCTTCTTCTGTGTTATAAGCGAGTGTCAGAAGCTTAAAGGGTCACGAAACACCAAAACACATTTTTTGAGCTGTTGACAGTGGTATATGTGTCCCACACTGCTAAAAACACTATCAGGACACCTATATTTCACTAAAAAGTGTAAATTAGTTGTTTTTGCGTTATTTCAAGCAAATTCGTACTTCCTGTTTGAAACGAATTTTTGAAGCTGCGTCACGGTCATGACATAATAGCGTGTATTCCAGCGTGCAGACTGGACGTCTCTGCCAGAGTGAGTCTTATTACGTCTTACAGTGTGATGCATTAATGCATGAGTAAGACTTGGTTCAAACCAATCAGCGCGCTCTATTCTGCAACTTCATTAATATTCATTAGTGTCACTGTTTACACCAGAGACGCCACGTTGTGTTGGCAAAACAAGCGTGGTGTGTTGCTTTTATAGTTTGCTGCCATTAAGTTTCGTTTTCATTTTCTCTCTGTGAGAGCTCAGACTCACGTGTGGATTAACAGTGTACGCGACGCTCGACAACAATAACTTACGTGTCCAAGGAGGATTATTGTTTACCCGAGAGCTGTTCTCATCTGCAAACGCTGAAATCCGGATTTGCTTGTAGTCTTCTCTTCATAAAGATGCGGCTCTAGTTGCTGGTGATTGTCCTGTCTCTACAGATTTGGTAAGTGAGCGACCAGTGCTCTTTGTTTATTCAGTTTGTTCGTATCGAATTAAGTTAACTATTGCACTGAGTGCAAACTTGTTAGCACCGCATTTTGTGACCGGAATAACACATGCGGCTTTCTGACGCTACCTACCGAGGGCATCTAAGTTTCCGGGAATTGCGGAGCTTTTTTTTCTCTCATTCGCCGTGCGGTATCAAACATTGCATGAAAAATACACGCTTAGAGCAGATCCTCGAATCAAATATCTCGTTTGTCGCGAGGGGCATGAATGAATTCCCTGAATGGAAGAGCCAAACTGCAGTTAAAGTCCAACATTTAATAATCTGGCAAATAATTCAACTACAGATGTCCATGTAGGTTAAACACAATGACTGTAAAAAATACACCATCACTTTCTCGTGTGAGTATTTTGACTGAAACTCGCGCGTGCCCAAATAGACACTCCCACACCATCCCACTTTAGTTCCTCCGACACTCCCCCCTAAACAGAGCTGGACACGCCCACTTTTCTGACTTTTTCCGAAGTAGAGGTGTGAAAACACCCTGCTGAAACGAGGGGGTTTCATGGCCCTTTAAAGTTGTGCAGCGCCATCTAACGTCAAAAGAGTGATTTTGCATACTCTTCAGCTTGACGCCAGTAAAAAGCGCTTGGGTTTGAATACTGAAAAACGTCTCGTAAAACCCTGACGATAAACGCAAACAAAAAAACGTCCCAGTGTGTAGGAGCCTTAAGTCATTGTATAACGATGGTTTGTTCTGTAGACAAAAACAAATATATTGCTTAAGGGGCTAATAAGTTTTTAAAAATGTCTTAATTTTTAAAACATTTTTTAAACAGCTTTTTTTTTCTAGCCAAAATGAAAGAATACGACTTTCTCCAGAAGAAAAAATATTTTAGAAAATACTAGGGATGTCCCGATACAACATTTTAACTTCCGATACGATACCGATATTGCAGCCATCAGTCCGATACCGATATAAATCCGATATCAGCACAAATTATGAATACTTTACTTTTACCTATTTTGTTGAGTCGAATGTATGAACGGCTAGATCAAACTGAGAACAAGTCAGCAACAGTAAGTATGGAAAAAACAACCAGTTTATTAACTATTGGTTGCATACATGTAAACTTTTACATAAGAATATATAAAAAGAATTAAAGAATAAATATTAAGACCCTGAAAAATATCTTAATTGAATAAACAAAAATACATTTTTAAAGTGCAAAATGCTAATTAAAGGTCACTTCAGTTACCATCAGCAAAGAGTAGAAACTGCAGAGAGCAAGAACATAAGAAAAAAATATTGTTAATTGAACAACTGCTAAAGGTTCAGTGTCCAAAATTTCAATTTCACACACAGCTTTTTGATAATTTTTTGATCCAGTTGAGCTGAAAAATAGCTTTCACACTTGGCAGCAGAAATAATTTATTAAGTTAATAAAAATGTGCAGTATGGTTAGTACAAACATTTACATGATCAGAGCTATTTCATCTGTGTTTGTATCATAAGAAAATTATGGCTTTATCAATGTTCCCAAACATTATTAATTTTATAATAATATATATTGCACATACTATATTTAACATAAAAATACTTGCAGAGGCTGGATTGAAACACACCTTTTCTCCACAGCACTTGAAATAATGCGACTTTTAAGAATTATTTTATTTATCAAAATTCATTATATTTGCATATTTGCACAGATTCCACCCTACTGACACATGGGAAAATTAGACAATGTAAATAAAGAGAACTGCAAACTGATGTACAAAGCTGACACTGTTTATCAGAGCACTTTATCTTTCTGGGCTTTTTAAAGAAGAGTTAAACATGGGAATGTCTCTAATTAAATTTTCCTTCTGCCCCAAAAGCCCATTCTAATGCCATTCTTTCTTTCTTTTAAACTGTAATGGCCCTCAGCAACAGAATGATTAGTTATTCTTATTTAACAGACCATTAAAACAACAAAAATGTTTGGCATTTTACATGACACTGTTCCTTTCAGAGTGTTCAAGTAAAAAAATGAAATAAAGAACAATAAATCCACTATTTTACTCCTACTATCCAGGTGCACCACTGACAGGTCAAATCTGCTCCCTCTCTAGTCTTGGTGCTGCTGAAAGATTAAGATTGAAAGTTTGCGTATAAAATATTGAAGAAACGTAGCTGAAGAAAGCAGAATCCAGGACATGTTCGGTGATTTATAAATCTTGGCTGAATGCAATTTTTAAGTCCCAAATAAAGGACCTGTCCGGGAAAAAGATAATGTATTGTAGGTTTTTTTTCCGCGTGTCCTCGCGCTCTTCTCAAAGATACAGTCAAAGCAGGTGTCCAGCGCGTCTCTGTGGGTCGGCTGCAGCAGCAGAGCCCGCGAGTCTGTGGCGGAGACTTTTCTCAAGTTATATGTGTGGGAAGCGCTGGTGACGAATTAGGTATCACACTGGATGAACCACGATATGCCATGATCGAATTGAGGCTCGCACGATGTGCGTTACGTCGCCATCATGTGCCTTATGTTGCTTAGCAGCCTAATGCAAAAAATGTAAAGATCGCTTGACGTGAAGTAAATAAACCAGTAACGTTAGAGAAGTGCCGTTGTTGATAGCGTCAGCGTGTGCTACCGTCACAATAGATTTCTATCGTAATACACCATAACTTAGTGTGAAGAGCACGTTAAATCTTAGAGTCTTTGCAAGCAAGCAGTGTTGTGATCACGTGGGCTTTGCACGCTGGCTCTGGACGCTGCTGGATAGAATAGCTGTAACGGAGTTTAGAGAGTATCGGACTGCTTATATTGGAGATTTTTAACGCAGTCCGATATAGTTTTTTGGACTGATATGGGACGAATTTCCGATATCAATATCAGATCGGGACATCCCTAGAAAATACTATGAAAAATTTATTGTTTTGTAAACAAAATTTGGGAAATATATAATAGTAAATATGTAATAATAATAATAATAATATTTTATTATTATTAATACAAAAATAAAATATTATTAATGATAAATAATAATTGTGTAAATAATTAAATACTGCCTGTTGATACACTGATGTACGGCATCAGTTGTTATTTTATGATATCAATTGACATCAATTGTTATTACAATGATAATGACTATTATTATTATCACTATTATTTAATAAAAACATAATATAGATTTTCTTTTTGTAAATATTCATTCATTCATTTTCTTGTCGCCTTAGTCCCTTTACTAATCTGGGGTCGCCACAGCGAAATGAACCGCCAACTTATTCAGCAAGTTTTTACGCAGCGGATGCCCTTCCAGCCGCAACCCATCTCTGGGAAACATCCACACATATACACACACTCATACACTACAGACAATTTAGCCTACCCAATTCACCTGTACTGCATGTCTTTGGACTGTGGGGGAAACCGGAGTACCCGGAGGAAACCCACGCGAACGCAGGGAGAACATGCAAACTCCACACAGAAACGCGAACTGAGCCGAGGATCGAACCAGCGACCTTCTTGCTTTGAGGCGAACGTGCTACCCACTGCGCCACTGCGTAAATATTGAACATTGATAAATATTGAATTGTAAACATTATTATTATTATTAATATTATTTGTATTATTAATATTATTATTATTATTCATAAATTTATAAACGCAAATGCAGTATACTAACCTTCACCTTAACTCCTTTTATTTCCACAGTTTTAATCATAAAATCAACTCCAATTGTGGCACCCTGTCCAGGAGGAAACAGCCCCTAGAATATAAAAAAAAAATCAAATTACACATACGGAATCATTAAAACAGAAAGAAAAGCAGTGTTTTTTCCTTTACAAACCTGAGTGAAACGTCGCACCAGGCAGGTTTTACCCACTCCTGCATTTCCTATCAGCACAATTTTGAATAAGTAATCATAATCCTCCATGCTCACACTCAGCTGAGAAAAGATGACAGACAGACAGATCAAATTTGTAGATGAAAAACTGCAAATGCAAACTCTTTAGTAAAAACACTGTAAAAAATAAACTATGCCTGACTTCTCCAGGGACGTTTTTTTCTTTCTTTTTTTTCTGCTGTCCATTCATGTAATTTATTAGATCAACAGTGGTTGTGTTTGTTTCTGAAGTGTTGCTATAGGAGAAGCTGCTATGCATGTGCTAAAATGCTGCTGTTGCCAAGGCCAGTGGCTGGATGCAGTGTTGAGACCAATGAACACATGAGGAATAAAGAGTAGACCCAGAGGCCTATGCAAACACACTTGCATAGCTAATTGAAACATAAGGAGGTGAGGCATTTGAAAAATACGATTAAAAGCTGTACGCTGAGGATTAACAGGTTGGATTTTTTTTAAGTTGCACAATATTTCAGGGTAAAAATAAATAATGTTATTGACTGTTGTTATTATTATTCATTTATTCATCTTCTTTTCAGCCTAGTCCCTAAATAAACCAACAACTTATCCAGCTTGTGTTTTTGCAGCAGATGCCCTTCCAGCCTCATATTTACACACTCATACACTACGGCTAATTTAGCTTATTCAATTTACCTATACCACATGTCTTTGGACTGTGGGGAAACTGAAGCACCTGGAGGAAACCCACACAAACACAGGGAGAACATGCAACCTTCTTACTGTGAGTTGATCGTAATACCCACTGCGCCACCGTGACGGCCATTATTATTATTATTATTACAGTTGATGTAAACTTGATTCAGAACTTTAAACTTGATTAAGCAGCATGGATACATGCAAAACAATAAAATCCTAAATATTTCAAATATATTTTCTCATTCATTTTAATTGTGATATTTAAAAAAAATTATTAACTTGTCATCTTTTTTTAAATATAGGTTCTTTTGGTATGGTAAAATAAACTTCCTATTTGCATTACTAAATATTTACATTATGCACATGCACAATCATCACCTCTGATCAATATTTATATTTTTGATTTTACATATGTTGAATAATAATAATACCAATAATAATAATAATATTAGCACATTGTGTTAACATGCATTACCACAATACAATGAAATAAACACTGCAAATAGTTTCTGAGTTTAATTTTGCAATCTCAGAAAATTATATTTGATTATAAATTTGATTATTAAAAATAAAAAAAATAAAATAATCATATACTCAAGCATTTGCTACTATTAAACGGTATGTTTGATTTATACAAATTATTTGGTCACACTTTACAATAAGGTTCATTAGTTAATGTTAATTAATGCATTTACTAACATGAACAAACAATGAACAATACATCTACTGTATTTGTTCATGTTAGTTAACGTTAGTTAATGAAAATACAGTAGTTTATTGTTCGTTTGTTAACTCATGGTGCATTAACTAAAGTTAACAAGCATGGACTTGGATGTTAATGATGCATTAGTAAATGTTCAATTATGATTAATAAATGCTTAACAAGTGTTGTTCATGATTAGTTCATGTTAGTAAATGCATTAACCAATGAACCTTATTGTAAAGTGTTACCAATTGTTTGCCTCATTTAATAAAAAATAAAAATGTTTAACCCTTACATTACCTAGTTTGTCAAATACAGCAACAACAGCATGGGCAGCACAGCTTTTGTCCTCTCATGAATAAATGGTTAATTTTTTTATACAAAAATCTAAATAGATTGGTGAAAATAGATGAAACATAATTTTCTATCCATTGAAATTTTAATTGTAAAATGTGTATTGTGGAAAAAATAATAAATAGCAATAAAAAATAAACATTTTTTGATCCCCACTGCCTCCAGATGAAAAAATCTGATGTGCAATAAGTCTCTTGCAGAAAATTGAAATCATATGCAATATGGAAAGAGCAGACAGAGAACATCGATGAAAAAACATATATGTGGCCTAGTATATTTTATTTGTATCCAGAGCACTGATAAAGAGTAAAAACATTTTATTAAACATTTCATTTTAGACGAGGTGTTCTGCATTAGCTAGCGGGATGCTCTGCACATTAAAGGTCACAGTAAAACATCTTTAGACTCACCGAACACAGGGGATTCACCCCGCTGCTTCTACGATTCCTAATGCATTCAGTCTTTACTTCAGGCTTTTAATCGAAGCTATAAGAGTCGTGCTGCAGCAACGGCAATACCTCGGCAAATTTGGAGAATCGTCTCGCATTGCTGCACGATGTTCCCAGTTTCCTCGTCTTTTTTATAATGACGTCATACAGCTTCCCAGTGGAAGCCGAATTCGGAAAACACCACAGAAGCATTCTGGGATTTGTAGTGGGATTTAGAAGTTTAGCGATTTAAAAGGATGTTGTTGAAGGCAAAGCTCTCTCTCTCTCTCTCTCTCACACACACACACACACACACACAAACGGCACTTCGGCCATTTCGTTTGAAACCCAAACGCACAAACAGAAGGTTTGTTAAAATTATTATTGGTAGTAGTAGTAGTAGTAGTAGTATTTTATCAAATGAAACAATTGCATTAAAGTACAATACATGCCCGAGAGCAAGAAATAGAGGTATTTTTTAAAACAGATTCACAGTTTTTACAGCTTTTCATTAGACTATGCAGAAATCGAAGACATATACAATTTTAAATCTTCAAGAAAAATCTGAAAGAAAAGCTTAAGCTAACAAAATTTACATTTGTGTATAAAATGTTTAACCAAAAACAAAACAAGATTAAATAAACAATATATATATATATATATATATATATATATATATATATATATATATATATATATATATATATATATATATATATATATATATGTTTTGCATGATCTGGATGTTCATTCTGATGGTTATTTCCTAAAACAACATTTTCATATTTTAATGTAACACAGGGATTATACCACAGAATACATCCATGTTTTTCCAAAAAAAAGAAAAAATTGGCATTCTCACAATTCCAAAAAAGGCAACCCAAGCGTATTCTGAAAACTTACTGCTATATACATTTCTGGAGATCACCAAATACATCCCAGGAGGTAAATTTATTTATTTTAATTATTTAGCAATTTTTGTTTTCGCAAATCCACCAGAGGCCGCTGTGTACGTTTTTTGAGGTCTCAAATTTCTCTCGCGAGTACCATTTGCATCTGCTGTTCTCGCGTAAATCCATCAGAAGCCGCTGTTGACTGACTGATCGACTAATGCCGAGTTCAGACTGCACGATTTTAGCCCCGATTTTTACTCGCAGACAGGTTTTGAGAAATTGCAGACAAATTCCTAAAGTCACAGGCAAATTGCTGCTCGTTCAAGCAAGTAACAATCACAAAGTATGATCAATCAAAGTACGTATCTGTCGAGATCGAGAATCGCAGATGAGTCGCCGAAACCCATGTCAGGGTTCTGCCACTCTGGTCTTGTTAATTTTTGTTTTAGTGGCAGAGTCCAAACACTAGTCCTGTCATGTCTTGTGTTGTGCTCGACTTGAGTTTTCTTGGTTCAAGCAATGCTTTTCTGTCAATGTGTTCGTCCCTGTATGAGTGCCTTTTTTGAGTGAGCTTGGACTGTGCCCACTCCCGCTTGATGCGGGGCATGTGGGATCTGGGCGTGTTTGCGATTACACGCTCTTGTCCAAGTTAGTGTTCATCTGTCTGCAGTGTGGTGTTTCATTCCCAGTGTCTCAGTCTAGTTGGTTTTGGTTGGCACTGCTATGAAACGTGTGAGTGCACGGTGTGTGTTTTCATTTATCATGTACTCTTGTGTCGCATTCAGTCCTCTTTTGGTGTTGTGTTTAGCATGTGGTGCATGTTTACATGCACCATGTGCTTGTGTGTTGTCATCTGAACATGCGGTAAATGAGTTATCTCATTGGCTGAGTGTTCTAGTCATAGGTGCGTTTGACTTCATGTCTTAAAGCACTGCATGCTGGTTAGAAATGACATGACAGGATGTCACATGTGGCATCAAAGTACCGCGACAGCGCTCCGAGATCAGACGACTGATTCAGACCGTGCAGCATCTGAAAAGCGGCTGCACGAGCTCTGATGACGACACCAACATTACACGATTGGCCGAGTTCAACGCATGACAACAACGACGTGTGTTTCGGGTTTATTATTGGACAAATTCTGATTTACAAATTTTGAAAAAAACAATTCTCTTGTCATACCCTCTCTAACTTGTAAACATTATGCTTACTAAATGACTATAAATATTTTACTGCAGTATCATCTTTTGTTAAATAATCTGGTTATAAAGGCTGGCTTGTTTGCACAGGTTTATTTTTGACCTTTTTTTATTCAGACTATTCACTGCATTCAGCTCCATAAATGATTTAAATTATATATTTTAGTAAATAATCTGAATATTAACTCAAATAAGTATCACAGACTTAAAATAAAATAATTATCATCATTGTCCTGACACCCTAAAGCAGGGGTGTCAAACTCAATTCCTGGAGGGCCGAAGCCCTGCACAGTTTAGTTCCAACCCTGCTCCAACACACTTATGCCTAGTTCACACTAAAGGATTTTAAGCCTGATTTGAGACCGATTTGGAAGTTAACGAGCTCGCCGACAGATCGGGCTGTGATCGTGAAGAAATCTGCGGGTGCACGGCGCTCGCCGCTCTTTATGTGTGAACTACTGAACGACGCATCAACGAGGCTCGCTGACGCGTCGCCGACACCTCGCAGACGGAAATCCAACATTTAGCATGCTGAATATTCCAGAGCAGTCGGCCGACTCAACCCCACGTGTGGTCAGATGTAGTGACGAGCTGCAGCCAATGAGAGAGCATATCAGCATGAGCTGAATGCCTGTGTGTTCAGGAGCTCAGCAGAAACATCTGTGATTGGTCAGAATGGGCATCGGTGCACTCGCTTCATTCTGCGTTAGTACAGACATGAGAGTAGGCTATATTAACAATGGAACTAGAATTCTGTAACTATTAGAATTACCATACTGCTCATTCAGAACGTTCTCATATAAAACGCCATACTGTCACAACATATTTACATTCAAAGCTATTATTGAGATATTTAAATTAAGCTTTGAATGTCTGGCATCATATTTAATGACACATTACCCTAAAAATATATATATTTTTGGTAATACAGCCTATAAATATGTAGTTAAGATACTAAAACACTTAAAGGTCTTGGCTTTCATTTTCACTTTCAAACAGGAGCTATTTCACTGCACAGAATATGCTGTTTTGAAAGAGATCTAAAGTAAATTGATGTTTTTGCCATCAGAAAGTTTTGTTTATGTTAGCAGGAAGTTGCTAGGCAAGAAAATGCACACATATTTAAAGTCACAGCGAAAAGTATGAGACATGCATGCAGTCATTTTGACCAATATGGTAATTTAAGGCAGAAATGCTCAGTTCTTTACTGTTTTGTAATAAAAAATAACAATGTCAGAAAGAAATACACTGATAATTAGAAAACGGCAGGGTGTTATAAATATGTTAGTTTTATTTCAAAGAGTTATAAAATTACAAAAATTGAAAACTCTCTGTGTATCTATCCACTGGAACGTTGCAGATGAGTGATTAATCCGCTGATAAATCACCTGATTTGACGATGTTTTTAAATGCTTCCTCCAAAGCTTGAAACGCTGTCAGTGATGTCATCAGCACACAAGCAGCCAATAGTGTTCAGCTTTTTCTGACGACTCCTCTCTCAAAATTTCATTGGCTGTGGTTTGGTAGCTTGAATGAGCTGATGGGGAATGAGTTGTTGTCAGATCATGTAGTGTGTGACCCACCTCTTGTGGATCATTCACAGAGTGTTGCATAGTGTGAACACCACAGAGATTAAAAGACACAAAGTCAAGTCATGTAGTGTGAACGGCACAGAGATCTGCTGATGTTTAAAATCCTGTTGTGTGAACTAGGCTTTACCTGTAGGTTTCAAACAAGCCTGAAGGACTCAATTAGTTTGATCAGGTATGTAATTAGGGTTGGAACTAAACTGTGCTGCGGCCCTTTGGAACTGAGTTTGACACCTTTGCCCTAAAGGTTTCTTGACAAATTAAGTAAAAAAAAAACTATTTTATTAAATAATCATAAAATGATTTTTAGGATTATAAAACATATATTTTATTTCCTGTCTAGCCGCCTATACCTGGTCTTTCTGGTAAACTTCTACTGAATGTGTAGCTCACTTATTATAGGAATGTCCTTTTGTTCAATCTTTTTGAATTAAAGTGCTTTTTTGAAAATGCTTTTATTATCCAAAATAATCTTAATCATTTTTTCAGACTTAATCAAAACACCTTGTTTTGGGATTTACATTAATATATATTGAAAAGTTTTATATCTATAAATGTAAATAAATGTAAAGCACTTTTTAGCATATTCAAACAATAAGTATTAGCCTGGAGTGATGTTTAAACTCCTAAATTTGTGCTTATTGCTTTGTATTTTATAGGCCTGTTTTTGTGTTTATATTACCCTCTTGTTTACCCTTATTTCTCTCATGCATTTGCAGCTGCATGCCTGCAGCACACAGCCCCCAGCCTGTGCTGGTAGTATCTGTTGAAACAACTACATGACTGGACGCCTGTCCTAGAGGCCCTCCAGCCTGTAGAAACAAGGGGTCGTGGACACAGCGCAGTAACAGTGACTTGAAGTATGCCTGCGTGCCATCCGAGTCTGGGGACTCGATCGTGAAGCCAGTTCTGAAGTGGTCTCATATGAAGTAATCCGAGCGGTGTGACAGTGGCTGCAAATGCCATATGCCCCAGGACCCTCTGAAATAATTTCATTGAGACCACTATTTTGCTTTCAAATTCTCTCAGACAGTTCAGCATTAGCTCTCCAGAGATCCTCTGCATGGAGATGAGTTTGCTCTTTTCTCGGTTGATCTGAAGCCTCACAGGTGAAGGTGCCAGAGCACCTTGTCTCTGTGCATAATCAATTGCTCCCGAGAGTGGGCTAAAATCAGCCAGTCGTAAAGGTAACTGAGTATGCGGATGCTCGCGAGCCGAAGGAGCACTAAGGGACCTTCCAAGGGACAGAGAGAGCCCGAAGGGGAGGACTTTGTATCGCAAAGCTTGACCTGCGAATGCAAACCACAGAAATTGACGGTGGCGAGGAAGAATGGAGACATGGAAGTACACGTCCTTCAGGTCTATCGCTGCAAACCAATCCTGAGGACGAACGCGCTTCTGTGTGAGCATTCTGAACGGCAGCTTGTGCAGACAGTGGTTCAAAACTCACAGATCTAGGATTGGCCTTGACCCACCTT